ATGCTAATTTGGATGTAAATTTAAAAAAATAAAATTAAAAAAAATTACCATTTGGAATTCTACAACATACATTAATTAATCCACTAACCTTCTAAAGTCCTGTAGTAAAGCATTTCCTAACCTTATTAGAACACTCACTAAACCTTTTTTTATAGGCCATGTATTAATCACACTTTGCAGAATATATTTTGGGAACTGCTTATCTAATAGTTCTTATTCTCATGGAAATTCATAATTCTGTGTTATCACATTTATTAAAGAGGAATCATATATACCTATATACTAAACATGTTTACATCTATTTGTGGGGATTACTTACCTGCTAAGCAAATTTCAAATCTAGGATTTTATCAGAGTTCTAACGTCACCCCTTACCACCACCAGGAAAGTTCCAATACCAACAGTCAAGGGTCAGAGGTGGAGAAAATAAAACCAATAAGGGCAAGTTTCTTTTTTTTTTTTAAGATTTTATTTTTTGGGGCACCTGGGTAGCTCAGTCAGTTAAGCTTCCGATTCTTGAGTTCAGCTCAGATCATGTTCTCACAGTCATGAAATCAAGCTCCCCATTGTTTGCTCTCTCAAAAAAAAAAAAAAAAAAAAGTAAGTACTCTCTATACCCAATGTGGGGCTTGAATTCACAACCCTGAGATCAAGAGTCACAAGCTCTAGCAACCCAGCCAGGAGCCCTAAGGGTAGGTTTCTTAAAGGGTACCTTTTACATTATAATTCAATATTCAAAGCTACTTTACTAAACAGTGCCTTTAAAAGCAGGTAAAATATATTTCAGCAAATATTAAGGCAAAGAATAAGCTGCCTGTAGACAGAATCATATACTGCATTACATAATACCTTTTGCATAAACAAAGTCAAGGTAAATTACTGTCAGAACAACATCGTGTTTTAATTAAACAATGACATACCTAAGTTACTGTGTTCCATACTCAGTGTCTCATTGGATCCTCACTACAAAATACTTGAAGGCAGGCAGGATAGATTTTGCTGTTCCCACCTTATAAGTAAGAAAACTAAAGTTTTGATGATTTGCCTAAAGGCTAGTAATGTAAGAATTTAGCAGATATCCAGGTCCACTTACTCTTCTACATTGTATGTCTAGATAAATATCAATAATTAATGGTAAAACATTTTTAAAATTATTCATTACTCATTTGTACAAGGCATCATTTTAATTTCAAGTATCATATATAAAATACCTGAAGGTTATGCTCAAAGCAGGTCAAAGTGTGATTAAATAGACTGAGGAAATATAGCGTGCTATTTGACAATTCTTCACTTGTGTTCGTTAAACAATCTGTCAAACAAACAAAAATGTATATTAATATATCTCAAGCAACAATTATAAACTGTCATTTATCTCTCAAGCTATCATATTCTGTTTCAAACTATAGTAATTCTTTATTCAAACAAGCATTATGTGTTCCACATACATGAAGCTTACCCCTTTTAGTTTCTAAAAGATATTTTTTCATATCATAAACATTTTCACAAAAATCTTAATCACGTATTCTCCTCTCTCTATAAAAACAATATACCAGAGCAACTGTAGCTTAGTTGGTTAAGTGTCTGACTCTTGGTTTTGGCTCAGGTCATGATCTCACGGTTTCGTGGGTTGGAGCCCTACATCAGGCTCTGTGCTGACAGCACTGCAGAGCCTGCTTGGGATTCTCTCTCTCCCTCTCTCTGCCGCACCCCCCACCCATGCTGTCTCTTTTTCAAAATAAATAAACTTTAAAAATTAAAAAAAAAACACTACATCAAATAAAATTTAAATTGATTTTTGATATGTTACAAAGTCTTAACCGTGAACATCAGTTATCAAATACTGACTTAATAAGCGCACTTAGTGCTCTGTAGGCATAAAGACTGTGTATCCTACATTCATTTAATCTAAATTTATATGCTTTTTGATCCTGTTTTGTGCCAAATATAGTAGTTCTGGGTCTCTTCCATCTTCACTAGTGAGTCATTTACTCATCTAACAGGATCAACCTTTTAAAATTTGCTCTTTTGGACTGGATATTGTATGTAAGCAATGAATCACAGGAATCTATCCCCAAAACCAAGAGCACACTGTATACAGTGTATGTTAGCCCCCTTGACAATAAATTATATTTAAAAATAAATAGGGGCGCCTGGGTGGCGCAGTCAGTTAAGCGTCCGACTTCAGCCAGGTCACGATCTCGCGGTCCGTGAGTTCGAGCCCCGCGTCAGGCTCTGGGCTGATGGCTCGGAGCCTGGAGCCTGTTTCCGATTCTGTGTCTCCCTCTCTCTCTGCCCCTCCCCCGTTCATGCTCTGTCTCTGTCTGTCCCAAAAATAAATAAACGTTGAAAAAAAAATTAAAAAAAAAAAATAAAAATAAATAAAATTTTGAACAATAAAATAAAATAATATAAAAAATAAAATAAACTTTGTTCTTTTGGAGCACCTGGGTGGCTCAGCTGAGTCAGGTTGAGCACCTGACTCTTGATTTCGGCTCAGGTCATGGTCTCAAGATTTGTATGATCGAGCCATGTGTCAGGTTCTGAGCTGGCAGCACAAAGCATGCTTGGGATTCTCTCTCTACCTCTCTGTATGCCCCTGCCCTGCTCATGCACACATGCTCTCTCTCAAAATAAATAAACACTTAAAAATAAATAAACCTTAAAAAATAAATAAATAAATTTGGTCTTTCAAATCTATTGTGAGTTATGGGAACAGAGAAACTAGATGGTAAGAATTTTGCTTAAAAAATACTGATAAAGGGGCTTCAAGTAAAGTCTGGAAACAAAGATAATTATTTTACGTGTTTTTTTAAAATCTAAAATAAATGATATTCCTCTGCAACTTAATACTCTTACTTAACATTAGCTCGAGTTCATTCCTTTTGCTTTCCATGTATCTAGGTTGTAGGTTTGAGTGCCTGGCTCTATATCCTGAAACTTGTGGCCAGCCATTTCAATCTCACTCTCTGAGAATCCTTGCCCTCCTTACATTACACACACTCACAAACATTTCCAACCCTAGACAACCTCCGTTTACTTCCTCTACTCCCAATTCTGTTTTGTAGCACACTATTGTAGAAAATCTTAAGGTTATATTAAGGGACTCAATTCTAAATTCTAGTCATAGGGCCACAAAAACTTCTTATAGGCACCCTACCAATTATTCTACAATGGATGTTCCAAATATTTTCTATTCTCTAGTACCTACTCCATGCTACTCTTGTCCTCCTTGATTTCAACTGATAGCCATATATTATACCCACTCAGGGCCATCTAATATGATGTCTCTCAACTGAGAGTGGAGAGACAGGATAGGAAGCTATTGCAATTATCCAGAAGGTAGCAATGCAAACAGAAAGAATTCAATGGATAAGAGATAAACTGAACAGGTAGTGAAGGGTACTGGAATACAGTCACCTCAAAATATGCCTCTGGGGCATATAGATTATTTTGAGCTAAAGGTCACTGATAACCAACAGAAGCAGGAAAAAAAGCTCTAAAAACAGGGAACATGTTATGTTTTATAAATGAAATTTACATTTGGAGGGAAATTTCCATGTGTAAAATGTCTCCCTCAGGGTGTAAGGAAGAGGAGGACTCTTAACAACACTTACCAATGCAGAAGGCTCTGATGTAAATCTGCATTAATAACCCTGGTTTACCATACCTTTTCTGGTTCTCAGAACTTGCCTCCTCCACTCAGAAGTCCGAAACCTGTTTTCTTTTGATTAACCTAACATGATATAGAAGCCCAAATTCTAACCATCCCTTTGGATTACTTCCATATGTTACTCCCCTTATGGGGTGTTCCCATGTGTCCACGTGCAAAACACATGTTAATAAGCCCTTGTTTTTCTCTTCTTAACATGTTCTCACCTGATCTAATCTACAAAGTTCTAGCAAGAGAACCTAAAATGGGTAAAGAGGTTTTTTCGCTCCCCTACAAGAGACACTAGTGTATCACACACTATGATATATGCATGTACTGTAATTCTTATAATATTAAGAGGCAAGCACTATCATTATCTCCATTTTCTAAATAAGGAACAGAGGTTTAGAGGAATTAAGGAAGTTGCCTATGGCTACGAAACTGGTAAGTAACGACCTGAAATTTCTACTCAGTCTGATTCCTGAGACTGCATTTTCAAATACTGTGAAATTAATAAAATATTCACATCTACATTCTAAACCATTAAAGTTCAATACTGGGAATCAACAAATTCAGGCCACTGCTCCTCCTTCCATAAGGAATAGATATCTTACACCACGCAGGGATTCAGGCAGTGACTACCAACTGATCAGTTTAGGCAACTGTGATGAACGGTAAATCTGCTGAACAGGGCAGCAACCAGCACTCTAAAAAACTCCTTTGTGCAAATTAGAAAAACATCCCCTCTGGGTAGATAGATTACAAAATGGCACACTCCTGCCTCCAGAAGCTGAGCTGGAATTAAGCCCCATTCACCTCCTCATCCCCTAGTGCAGGGCTTGGTGTGCACCTGGTATACATGAGGCCCTGCTACTGAACCTAATCCTAGAGTCTTTGCCTCTCTGAACTCCTACACTCTACATTCTCTGCATCTTTATCTTCTCAAGAATGTAAGCCCCATTCTGACTGTTCACCCTTATCATTTAAAAATCTGAGGGATCCCTTCACAAATTAGGAAACAGCCAAAGAAATAAAGTAATATACTGAAGATCACACATTGAGTTAGTAAGGCACTGCGATACAAAATATTCTTTCAAACTTTTAATTAAGTATTCTCTTAATTATACCACTCTTTCTTTACTGCTTAAAAATGTTACTCCATCTGTCAGCTTTCAAAAAGTTCACACACTAAATTCTTTTTTAAACAAATATAACTTAAACCTCTCTTAATCCTGGTTTAGTGTCATCACAAAATCCTTTTATGCATGAGGCAGTATATATATAAAAAACACAACTACAAACATGCAGAATGTATTGGCCCAAGAGATTAAAACAGGTTTTCAGTTCTTGTAGTTGACATTTTGCAGGGAGCAGAGGGAATACAATTTCACCCATAGCAATTGCACATCTGTGTTAATGAGCCATGTCATGGCACTTGACACACACATTAGAGGGATAAATGGGGGGGGGGGTCCCTGTACTGCCTACAAAAACAGTAGAAAGCACACGAATATGGGAGAGCGGTGGCAATTTCTTCGATACAAAGTACATAACTGAAATAATTTTTATTAAAAAGTAATTTATAGGATAATTATGGAAAATAACAACAAATGAGAAAATAATTTATAAAGGAAGCTTCTCTGAACAAAAGAACTTAATCTCTTCTATTTTACTGACAGCCATTCCTTTTCATTTAAAATAACATGAAAATTAAACTAAAAGCTAATACAGACTGGTCATCTTGTTAAGTACCACATTAATGCAGTACCATCAAAATTTTTTCAATGATCATTAGACAGTGGTATTATAAAGCACAAAGGAGTTCATTCATACAATAGGGTTAAAAATGTCTTCATTATTAAAGAGCCCTGACTTTCTGATTTAAAATAAAGGAGCTCCAGTAAAATTTCTCTTTTGTGCTTTTGTAGGAATTGGAAGCATAATGTTATAAGCAGTGAGAAGCTATATATTTTATAAATTAGTAAGTTAGGGAATATTAGTAATAATAAAGCTTCCTATAAGCACCAAGTGAAGTGGTTATTATGAATTTTCCACATCTCAGATGATCAATGCAGCCTCATCAAGGACAGATTAGCATAGCTTCTTTCTTAGTGAGGGCTCAAAGCATCAGCTCAAGAGGCATTCTTAAAGGTATGGAGGATTCAAGTTAAGATACAGAGACCTAAATCATCATGACAGAAATTATTACGCACCTTTAGATAAAATATTTGGCATCCATTAGACATTTGTATAAAGATCTCTGCTGTTTTACAAAACTAGTTTTATAGAGAACAGAGACAATTACCAATTTCTGAAAAAAAAGGGCAAGCTTCAGAAAATATAGCATAAACTCCTAGAACTTTGTGCCTCAATAACGTAATTAAGTTTTAAGTATGAAAACAAAGACATTTTAAATTGTAAGACACAAAATAAGTGAGTCTAATGCTTAGCAAATTACTATGTAGATAAAATATGTAAAAGAGGGGTTCTGGTTAACTGACCTTCTGATAACCATGAAGTTTTATTATTGACTTTTAAACAATTAAGACATAGTAAGTGAAGGGTGATAGAATATGCCATTCCAAAATATGCCTCTTTGCCATAAGGATTGTTTTGAGCTAAAGTCACTTGAAAAATAGCAAATGCAGAGAGCTTTCTGT